CACACACACACACACACACACACACACACACACACACACACACACACACACACACACACACACAAAGATACATACTTTTAAAAGTTTTTCCAAAAAAAAAAAAATTTAAATAAATAAATAAATCTACAGACATGCATTGACAGTCAGGCAAAAGCAGCACTTAAAAGTTACTTCACTTTAGACTGACAAAAAGCCAGTGGGCCCAAAATCTCAAAACTGACAGATGCAAAAAAATAAAAAATATATATATATAAAAAAAAAATAAAACGCTGTCTTTTACTGCCATTTCCCACACCAATCTCATTACAAAAATAATTATAAAACTCAACTAGGCCAGCACAATATTGGAAAAATTTTGATATTTTGTTATTCTGCTACATATTTTGGGATATGAATACAATTTCATCAGATGGCTTGAATGGCTCTATTTGGAAATAGTTGATCATTTTAGATATCAATTATATATGCATATATCATGTATATATAACTTGCATAATCTCTCTTACTGAAAGAGACTTACAGATCTTGCTTATGCTTTGTATTTTCCCCCCTTTAACAACAACAACAACTATGAACAGTAAAACACGGGGAGCTACAAATCCTTTAGAAGATTGCCTTTAAAGAAGAAAAAAATATCATGTTAAATAAATTTAAAAGTTACAATTCAGGAAAAATACAGGTATATTGGTAAAAAAAATACTAAATCCACTTACTCCAAATTAGAGAAAAGTAGTGTTCTTAATGAGAAAATCGTGACATGTATAGTGTGCACTGTATCAATCCATTCTTCAACTTTAGGTGATTCTAATTTTAACCATTGTTTTTGTAAATGTTTTTTACTAGCTGCCAGAAGGATCAATAACAGTTTCATGTCTTTATTAATACATCCATTTAAATTTATATTACCCAAATATAAAGATGCACAAGTGAAGGCAATCTCTACTTCAAAAATGGCATCTAATTGTTTTTTAATCTCAATCCAGTTTGGGGTTAAATTCTGACAATCCCAAAAAAACATGATCATTTGCATACAATCTAATAAACAATCTACATTGTTTATCCAAGTCTAACAGCATTCAGGTACAGTAGTTGAATTATAAAAATACAAATAATTCAATAAAATTAATCCTTATTGAAGTTACGAATGGCACAGTTTATTATACCGGAATGCTTTTAAAATCATTATACAGTCATGGAGATCAAAAACACAGCCACATCATAAATTATAATACAAACTCAACATTGCATAACCTGCAATGTGACTATTGCAAATGATCACATTGCGATATCAATGCTGAAACGACATATTGTGCAGCCCTAAACTCAACCCAACTTAATAGAAACTACCACCAACTTAGTGCACATGTGCAAGTTGTTTGCTATAGATAAACAAGTAGAAAGGCTTTGACAGTTTGCTTGTCTTTCTGGCAGGGAGGTGCAGAAGGCCCTGTCGAAAGCACAGGGTTTGTATGAGCGCTGGGAGGAGTTGCTGCAGGAGGAGACCCCCGTCAGCAGAGATGAGCTCGACTGGAGCACCAATGAGCTCCGAAATTGCCTGAGGGCCATCGACTGGGACCTGGAAGACCTACATGAAACCATCAGTATCCTGTTGAAAACTGAAGACCTGTGATGCTTTTAAACTTCAGAATGTTACACAAAATGGCTCTGTATTGGGAAAAAAAAGATATTGGGCTGACAAAAGAAAGGAAAAGGGATTTTTATGAATCTTATTTTTTTTTAAAGTCACAGTTTTTTTTGTTATCTATGAAAGAAGCCACATTGTGCAGTGTTATTACAATTAAAAATTTTATTACATACAATTATTATAATTAACTTGTAGTTTAGATTAATTTCTAGATATTTCATTCTGTGTTCAGGATATTTATTATTAATAGTGTTAATAATTATATGAAAACTAAGATACATTTTTTTCAGTATTATTTGATGAGCAGAGAGTTTTAAAGAGTACAAATCCTTGGCTATTATTAAGGACTTGACTGTCAGTTCCTCTGTCTTTTCACTGTATAGAACAGTTCATTGCTTAAATCTTTCTGACCTCTTGCTATTTAAATTAAAACCATTATTTTGTATAAATTGGGTATTTATTAAATACACAAAAAATGTCAGATATGTCAAATAACCTTTGTGGAAAAAATAGTAAAATATTTAAATGATGTTACACGATTTATTGTAAAATACTGTATTTATGTAAAAAAAAATGCATTCTAATCTGTACTTATTAAAATGTATAAAAGAATAAACAAGACCGACAGACAGACAGACAGACAGACAGATGGATGGATAGATAGGAAGATGAATGGATAGATAGGCAGATGGATAGATAGATAGATAGACAGACAGACAGACAGACAGACAGACAGACAGACAGACAGACAGACAGACAGACAGACAGACAGATGGATAGATAGATAGATAGACAGATAGATAGGAAGATGAATGGATAGATAGGCAGATGGATGGATGGATGGATGGATGGATGGATGGATGGATGGATGGATGGATAGATAGATAGATAGATAGATAGATAGATAGATAGATAGATAGATAGATAGATAGATAGATAGATAGATAGATAGATAGATAGATAGATAGATAGATAGATAGATAGATAGATAGGCTGGGGGCGGGCAGGGGAGAAATTTCTTTTAGAAGTTATTGAAATACTTAATCTAAATAATATATTTGGTATATACTGTAAGCTGTTGTTACACTGAATAAAAAAATAGAGAGATTTTTATTGGAAATCTAATATATATATTTTTGCTTTCAATAATAGTTTTTTTTTTTGGACTCATATGCAGAAGTTGGTTTAGTCCTTGACCGTATCAGGTATTGTGGAGGCGAACCCTGGAAAGTTCCGATTAGGAGAACATGAACTCCAGGAGAGACGAGACTTTGTGGAAAGAACACGGAAATCCGTTCAGGTGCCAATCATTCTCCTCCACACACACAGACATATATTCTATTTATTATTATTTATTTCTATATGAATGTTTCTGTGTATCTCTCTGTAGCTAATGAAGGAGCAGCTCTCCAGTCCCTCTGCTGTGGCACAAGCGGAGAAGAAAAACAAACAGGTGAGTTCATTCTGTTCTTTGTTCAACTGAATGGATTGATATGGTGATGTTTGCTGGTGTCAACAGCACTGTCTCTGACAGGCTCTGCTCGGGGCCACAGCAAAGGACCGATACGCCGGTCTGGAGCCTCATCTGGTGTCTGCAAACTCCAGATATATTCAGGAGCAACAGGAGCAGCAGCAGGTATGACACAGGGGCTCACATTGCACTTATCATGAAATAGTATTGACAATATTCACAAAGTGAGTTGAACAAACTCTGGGTTGCAGAACAAGTCTCAAGATCAAAGGTTTATTGTTTCACAAAAATTGATATAAACTTTTTCTGATAACTCTTGGTTTAATCCAGAGTTTGTGATTATGCAAGTGCAGCAAACAGCTAATCAAAGGAGACATGAGAGCAGCAGTTTGATTAATTTCTCACAAGAGAGTCAAAAATTCACCTCTCTGTTAAAGATTAAGAGATAACATTATCAGAAATATAAAGTTTGATGAGGCAACTTAAAGCTAATAGTGCTATATCAATGCAAATCAATTTGCAGATTTTATTAATGTTGATTTAAAAACAGCTAAAAGACAGCCATTTTAAAAGCCTAATTCATTTAAGCAAATTTAAATATTTAAATGTAAAGTTTATTTTTCAGACATTATTAATATTAATTGACAATTAAAAACTATTTAAATCTATCCTCTTAAGACCCAAGGTGTTTTTTACATGCATTTTTTATTTCTCTTTGCTATTTGGGCTTATTGGAACGTAATTAGAATAAAAGTATCATCTTTTGATATGATGTACTTTTGGAGAAAAATGGTGTCTATATATGTGGACTCATGGTCCGAATTCACATAAAACACTTTTTCCCTGAATTTTTTTTATGCATATTTAACATATAATTTTTTTTTTTACTTGCTTTGACTATCTGAGAGGAAAAACTAAATTTTTTCCCATTTTGGACACTTAAAACTAGGGTTTGGGACATTTTATATGCTGCAAAACAGTTGCAGGATGACACTTTATGTCTGTAACAAAATATAAAACATTCAAAGTATTTTAAATAGCCACTTAAGAGCTTAAAATGTGCTGTCCACGTATGTGAACACTCAGGCCCTAGGAGGTTATACTATAGAGTTAAAGTATTAATATTTGCAATTATTATTTGAAACTTGACTCAAAAATGCATTTAGGCTATTTACTCACAGCTGATTGGTCCAGTTTGGGTTTGAGATCTGTAACCCAGAATAAAACCACAAGTTACCATAGTGAAGAAACTGATCAACCCACTTTTTTGAGCCAGAAAAGAGTTTGCTCAAACTAAATGCAAACTTACCTGGGTAGAATCCCAAACTGGCATTATGCAACATTATGCAACAGGCCTCAGAAAGCAAGCAAAGCATGAGCTTTACAGGCAGAAAACAAGGACATTTGATCTTTTGGTTTGAAGGTTTAATATTACAGTTTTGATTGTTTCATATTATTTTCATATATCATAATAAGCAAGTTTCTCTCTATGCAGTTGATCATGCAGGACCAGGATGAGCATTTGGAGCTGGTCACAGGCAGTATCCGCGTCCTGAAGGACATGTCCAGCAGGATAGGAGACGAGCTGGATGAACAGGCAGTGTAAGCGAACAAATAACACCTTTTAAATTTTGAGTGATGCATTACATCAGTTTTACTGCTTATGAGTGCACAGGATAGCAAGCATTAATGAAAATAATGTAGATGGCAACTATGATTCTGATCCTATTCAACACAGAAAAGTATGAATAGCTTATTCTGGTGCACCTTTTCACAAAATGACAATAGGCAGAGAGTGTTGCTGATCTTTTTGTGGCTGTTTGACTGCAAATCTAATCGAATGTGTTTTGATTAACTCTGTAAACATCCAATTGTGGACAATCTTGAAATGTTACATCTGTATTTAGTATGATTCTCTTTTAATCAAATGAACAAAAATGCATCTTTTTTGTCCTAGTATGCTGGGTGAGTTTAATGAAGAGATGGACCAGACCGGTTCTAGAATGGACTCGGTGTTGAAGAAAATGGAGAAGGTTTCACACATGACCAGCAGTGAGTGCTTTGATTTGATTTGATCTGTTTATTTATTTTGAACAGAAAAATAATACACAGAACACACAACTTCAAACAAAATACATGGTTGAAATAGAGCAGGATTAAGCACAAGCGTATTATTTTCCCCATCCCATTACCACACACATTATTCATCTATTACTTCAGCTTATTTCTTCTTTTGTTTATCTCTTCTTTTTACATGAGACATATTTGATCCTTTTAGCATATTTAATACATTATATGTTTGATTCCATTTGTACATTTACATTTTAAAACATAGACCCATAGTACTGCAAACAGCCATTAATTGGGATTTCATCATACCCTTCTCAGTTTGTTCACCTCTATTGATCATTATATTCCTTTAATAATATATATTTATACAACTCTTTAAATTGATTAATATCCTGACATTGTTTGAGGGTCTGTTCCAAAATTTCACACCACATAGACAATTTTTCATAAGTTGTCCTTTTTTCCAACCTCCTAAGATTTCGTTCCTCTCTCAGATTATATCTCCCTTCACACATTACTGTGTTATTTTGTACTCATATTTTCAAGTTTATCATATGTCGTATCTGTCTATAAAGTTTATTTCTACATTATATGTAATGGCATAGAGCAGCACGGTGGTGCAATGGGCAGCACAATCGCCTCACAGCAAGAAGGTTGCTGGTTCGAGCCTCGGCTGGGTTAGTTGGCGTTTCTGTGTGGAGTTTGCATGTTCTCCCCGTATACGCATGGGTTTCCTCCGGGTGCTCCGGTTTCCCTCACAGTCCAAAATAACATGTGGTATAGGTGAATTGGATAAGCTAAATTGTCCGTAGTGTATGTGTGTGAATGAGTGTGTATGGATGTTTCCCAGCGATGGGTTGCAGCTGGAAGGGTATCCACTGCGTAAAACATAGGCTGGATAAGTTGGCGGTTCATTCCGCTGTGGCAACCCCAGATTAATAAATGGACTAAACCAAAAAGAAAATGAATGAAGGAATGTAATAGAATAGTTAATCCAAAAAGAAAACAGTTGCTCACTATTTACTCACCTTCAAGTGCTAATAAATCTTTTATTTCCTAATTTTTTCTGTTGAACAAAACGATAATATATTTTGAAGAATGTTGGTACCTGGTAACCATTAACATCCAGATCTATGTGGTTTCCAGCATTTTTCAGATTATCTTTTTATTTTGTGTGTTCGACGAGACAGAAACCTTGTTCAGAACATGGAAGGAGAGTAAATTATGAAAGAAATTAAATTTAGGTGAACTATCCCTTTAATGGTATATTATTTGATATTTTATACTGATATATTTGTATATGATATAAAACATTGTGTACCACAGCTTTCATATTTTTTATATATTAAAATGTTCTGTTTAATGATTGTCATTCATTTTTAGTCTATTTACAAAACACATATTTTAGGCATATTAATAACGCATTTGATGACATATTCACATTGACATCCTTTTTATTATTTAAAAAAAGATATTATAATCAGGGCTTGACACATTTGACACATTTTTAAAAAATATATTTATCGTATTAATAATAGTAATATAGTATTATTAATAAATAATTAGTTCGGTGTGGCCAAAGAGAAAAATGGTAAATTCTTCGCAGTAAGGCCTAAAAAGTCATGTGAAATAAAAACAAAAAAATTAAGGAGGCATGTGGATATAACACATAATTTAAATCAAGTAATTTTGCCATGCCAACATCAAATTTATGCAAATATATTTTCCCAACCACAAAATTGAGGCTAGTGAAAATGGCGAGTACCTATAACATTGGAAAACTACTAGCCACAGTGGCTGGTGATCAAAAAAGTTAGTTAGGCCCTGATTAAAATATAAAAAAATCTCTGTCAGTCAGTATTTTTTGCCATAATTCCTTTGAAAAAATGTTATAAAGAACAGCATTTATTTGAAATATAATATTGTAAACAACAATCAGTTACAATTCAATGTATCTGGCGAGTTAAAGTATTAAAAAATCATTAACCCTTTAAAATAATGGTCATTAGTTAATGTATTATCCAACATGAACAAACTATTAGTGATCCATTTATTACTGTATTTATTCATATGTTCGTTAACATTATTAAAGTAAATTATTTAATAAAAAATAATAAAAGTTAATTATAGTTGTTATTTAACTATGATTAATTAATGCTCTCCAAGAATATTCATATTTGATGGTAATAAATACAATAACTAATGGACCATTATTCTTAAGTTCTACCAAAATAAATTTCTGTATATTTTAAAATATATTTTATTTATGTATTTGTTTATTTATTTGTATTTTTTAATTGTATTTATTTTTATTATTGTTTGTATTTATTTATTTTAATAAAAACAACAGCTTCCAAAACAGGTTTACATGTTAGAATTGCACTCATGTATTTCTATAGTTTTGAAGGATTTCATAAATGAGTGTGTGACTGATTGATGTGTTTTGTGTGCGGCAGGTCGGAGACAGTGGTGCGCTATTGGAGTTCTTGTCATTATACTGATCGTGGTGCTCATTTTGTTCTTCGCCATTTAAACCAGACACTTCTTCGGTTTGGCCTTCCATCATGCTGAAATCTTACAGAGGAAGACAGAAGTTTACCACGATTCTTCCATTATCCTTTATGAGAGAGATGTCGAGAGTTATTTTTTATAGTCCTTTTCACCTCATCTTGTCTTCAGTAACCCACATCGCTTCTCCTGTTTTTGGGTGGACTCTGCAAGGTCTGTTCCAGCATTTCACTGGCGCCGAGGTGGAATTTAACAGTTATTATTATGTTCCTTATGTTTTAATGTGGTACAGAGTGCATGTGGGGCTGGGGAATTTGATATTGCCTTATTATATTTTTATATGTTTGATTCTGACAGTGCAGTCATTGTGAAAGTTATATATCAATATACTCATTGTGTGCTGATGGGTGGTTCACCAAATATTTAACAAAGTAAATGTTGTTTTTTAAAGTAATCAACCCATAACGAGCACAATGAGTCAATGCAGTCTTATAGCGCCCTCTAGATTTCTAGATCGACATACCAAAGTTAAAGGGATAGTTCACCCAAAATTGAACATTCTGTCATCATTTACTCACACTTCACTAAATCAAAACATTCTGAGTTTCTTTAAACACAAAAGGAGATATTTTGAAAAATGTGGGAAACTAGTAACCGTTGACTTCCATAGCAATTTTTTTTTCTTAGTATAGGAGTCCCAGCAACCAGTATTCTTATATACGTTGATTTTTAATATCTTTGAATTTCTTTAATAATAATAATAATTATTATTATAATAATAATAAGTTTAAATATTCTTTTTGTGTAAACAAAGTCATTTTCATTTTTTGGGTGAACCAAGTTAAAATTTACTCACCATCACCTTTAAAGAGTTACTTTTTTCTGTTGAACCAAAAAAGGGGTAGACTTTTAACATTACCTCCATAGGAAACTAAATACTATGGAAGTCAATGGTTACAGGTTTCCAACATTTCTCAAAATCTCTACTTTTGTATTTAATAGAAAAATATCAACTCAAACAGGTTTGGAACAAATGGAACAATGACAGAATTTAAATTTTTGGAACATTCTGTCATCATTTACTCACACTTCACTTAGTCAAAACTTGTTTGAGTTTCTTTAAACACAAAAGGAGATATTTAGAAAAATGTTGGAAACCTGTAACCATTGATTTCCATTGTATTTTTTTCATACTATGGAAGTCAATAAGTCCCAACAACAAACATACTTATAAATGTTGGTTTATAATATCTCAAATAATAATATGTTTAAATATCTTCTTTTGTGTTTAATAAAAAAAATAATTAACTCTCATTTAAAACCACATGAGGGAGAATGAATGTAGAAGAGGTCATTTTATTATTTGGGTGAACAAAGTTAAAATGTACTCAGCCTCACCCTCAAAGAGTTACTTTTTTCTGTTGAACCAAAAAACTGGTTTTGAAGAATGTTAGAAATGGGTAAACATTTAAAATTACCTTCATAGGAAAAATAAATATTATGAAAGTCAATAGTTACAGGTTTCCAACATTTTTCAAAATCTCTTCTTTTGTGTTTATAGAAAAATATCAATTAACACAAGTTTGAAATAAGTGAAAGGTGAGTAAACAACAGAATGTTCTCTTTTTTTCCCCCATATCAGAGTGAATGCTGGCTTATAGCGCCCTCTAGATTTCCAGCTGGCCATACCCAAGTTAAAGGGATAGCTCACACAAAAATGAACATTCTTGGCATTATTTACTCACACTTCACTTGTTTAAAACTTTTTTGAGGATATATTTTGAAAAATGTTGGAAACCTATAACCATTGACTTCAATAGTAATTGTTTTTTTCATACTATGGAAGTTAATGAGTCCCAGCAACTAACATTATTATGAATGTTGGTTTATAATATCTTTAATAATAATACATTTAAATATCTTCTTTTGTGTTCAATAGAAAATAATAAACTCTCATTTTAAAAAAAATACGAGGGAGAATAAATGTAGATGAGGTCATTTTTATTTTCTGTGTGAACTGACTCAAATTTACTCACCATCACAATCAAAGAGTTATTTCTTTATGTTGTACCAAAAGAGAGATTTTAAAAAATGTTAGAAATGGGTAAAAAGGAAAAACAAATACTATGAAAATTAATGGTTACAGGTTTCCAACATTTTTCAAAACCTCTTCTTTTTTTTGTTCAAACGGGTTTGGAACATGAAAGGTGAGTAAAAAGATGACAGAATTTTCCATTTTGGGTGAACTATGCCTTTTCTATCTGATGGAAATTAAATCATGAACTTTTTAAATTATCATTTGCTCTTTTATTCATGGATGAATCTCATCATTTGAGTCAACTCGTGGATAATTGGTTGCAAAAAATGGTCAAATTTGCTCACACTGACAATTTTCATAGATCTGCTTGTAAGTATTGGGATTTTTACTCATTTTAAAATCAGATTTTATGCATTGCTTTTAAGATTACTGTATATTGTTATTGCGGCGGATTTGTATAGAGTCATTTGGACACACTGTGCATTTTGATGGATTAAGTCACAATGATATTCCATACTTCTCCATCATTTTACTATTTTCACTAATTAACTGGTCTTTTAAATGCAGTAAAAGCAGCAACATGCATGTTCTGGAAGTCGCATTTTATTTTAAGGGGGAGAGGCTCACCAAAAAATGGATCTTTGCTTTTGATTTACTCACATTTTACATTTAAAAAGATTTTAAGCTGATGATTTCATTTTTTGGTGATTCATAAAATGACATTTTCAAATATCAGCACTTTTAATAGTCAAAAAAGCACACAGACAAAACAAAATGTAATAGGTGTGACTAGCTGGAAGGTAAATGAACAGCAATTTAGTTTCATTCTTAAGTAAACTCCCCCACTAACTGACAGCATCCCCTAAAGAGCTAATCAAAAGCTT